CTAATGTGAAGCAAAAATAGTAAAAAAAAAAAAAAATCCATATTTTTTTATCAATAATCATTTTATAAAAAAAGTTGTCACATGTTTATGTCCTACATATTAATATGCTCTTGACTACTTAGGTACATCTAGGTCAGTGGTCCTCAACTGACTTTCCCACCTGGGAATATTTCCAATATCTGGAGACACACTGTTTGTCTCAACAGGGTTAGGGAGGATCCCACTGGCATCTCGTGAACAAATGCCAGAGGTGTATGTCTAAACATCTTACAATGCAGAGCATGACCCACCCCCCACCCCAAACACACACACTGAATAAATTTTGATCCCAAATGTCAGAAATGCAGAGGTTGACGTACCCTGCTCTAATTCTCCATGCTCCATTCAGAACTACATTCTAGGAAAGAACTGGCAGCATGTGCTACTTCCATCCCACCACTACTCACTCTTCAGCTGTTGTGCTCTGTCCCCATCACTAGAGCCCACAGGTACTGTTTATTTGACCATCATTTGGGATTTGCATTGTGTAACCACTTTTAGTACTCTTGTGGTTTGTTTGTTTGCTTGTTTGCTTGAGAGAGAGTCTCGCTCTGTCACCCAGTCTGGAGAGAAGTAGTACAATCCCAGCTCACTGCCACCTCTGCCTCCCAGGTTCAAGCGATCCTCCCACCTCAGCCTCCTGAGTAGTTGGGATTACAGGCACTCACCACCACACTTGGCTAAGTTTTGTATTTTTAGTAGAGTCAGGGTTTCACTATGTTGGCCAGGCTGGCCTCAAACTCCTGGCCTCAAGTGATCCACCCACCTCGGCCACCCAAAGTGCCGGGATTACAGGTGTGAACCATCACACTTGGCCACACTTTCAGTATTTTTTAAAGTATTCCTTGGTTATTCTTGCCACTTCACTGCCTATATTCTATCACTCTGATACTTCTACTCAGCCTGACCCTTTTGCATGAGCATTTCTTGCCTTGACCACCACTAAATATTGCTGTTCTGAGCACTGAGATTGGACTCAGCTCTTATTAACTGCGCCCTGAACACAGGCTGCCTGGCAATCACATCCACTTCTATATACCTTCGTGGCTTCCACACCTATCTTGGAAAGACCTCTCCCCTCAACTCGAGAAGCTGTTTCTTTAATGAAACTTGAGATATTTTAAGCTTACTGTTTCCTTGGTATGTCAAACAATACAGCTGAAGTTTACCATACTGTTCTGTTCCCTAAAGTTAGTTCTCCCCTACCTACCCTCCACCTCTATGAATGGTAGCACCATATAGCCAGTCACTCAGCCAAAAAACAAAACAAAATAAAACAAATCTAGTAATCATCCCCTACTCCTCCAAAATGATCACAATGTCACAGAGTTTTAATTCCTAAATATGTTTCCCACTGTTTCCTCCTTCCAATCTTCACTGCTATGTTCAGTTCAGAATCTAGCATCAACTCTTTTCTGAATTATTTGAGTTACTTAACGCCTCTCTGACTTCAATCATCATACCTTTAATGCAATCTTCAATTCTCTTTCAAAGATTCTCCATTCTCATAACAAAATAGCTTAGATTTTGATTCAGCATATGCCTACCTTTCCAATTTACTCTGACCCCAACCTCATATCCAGACACCTGGCAGTTCTCCAAATACGCAGTGTTCATTTAAGCTTCCATTCTTTCTACCAGAATGGTCTTTCACTTCAATTTCCACCTGGGACATTCTTACATGACCTTAAATCACAGCTAAAATAATGTATCCTCTTAGAATCATTTCTTAAACTTACCTATCTAGAAAGAATTACATATCTTCCCTCCGGATTTGCATAGTATTTTTTACATGTCTTTATAAAGGCTTTATTGTTTGTCTATTTAGTATAGTAATTCTTTATTTACATGTTTGTCATCCCAACTAGAATGTGAGCTCTTTGAGAACACATTGGAATGCGTCTTCATTGCTATTCCTTAACACCTCTGTCAGTGGATATCTGCCTTCCATTAATAAACTAAGTGAATGTACCACAATGAGTATTTATGTTGAGTTTTCTAAAATATGAAGGCCAATTTAACATAATCTGGAGTTGTTCCTCTACTGCTGTTCCTCTGTCATTTTATAAAAATACACATTAGTTACCAATAGGTACTGAAAAATCACAATGCTTTGACCCAAATTTCCATATTAATATGTTTTATGAAATACATAAGGAAAGATAGAAGACTGATGAGCTAATGGAAAGAGATGAGCAACATATAAATTAATATTATTTGACCTTGTGATGCCTCAAATGGAATGAACTGTTGACATGGCATTAGAAAAAGGAATTTTATTCACTACCTAATCCAATTTGCAAGCCTTCTTGTTTTCCTCTCTAGGTCATGAGTAATTCAAGCATTTCTTAAAGCTCACTTATCTCAAAATAAAAAAAAAATTACTGTCACATTACACACACACACAAATCATGGTTTAAAATATTCCCACTAAAACAGTTTGATTCATTATTAATGATGCAATTACAAAAGAAAGCAATTCTTTTAGATGAGACAATAAAATGACTGGTCAATTTTATATACTTTAATTTTGAAAAGTAAAATTTGGTTAAGAATTTAAACAGGTTATTTGCTGCTGAGTAGATAAAATTTTTTAAATTCTGAAAAATTAAAATTTCTTAATTTTTATGTATTTAAAAAAGAACAGATTTCATTTAGAGTGTTTCTTCAAATACAACACAATTCCCTAAAAATAAAAATTAGAAGATTCAGGTCCTGGTCTAGCAACCCCATTAATTTATTGTCTGAATCTTGGTCACCTAAACTTCTGGGGCATCATTTTCTTTATCTTGAAAATGGGAGAATAATGCCAATCATATTCACCATAAAAGGGTCTGTTGGAGTAAAAATCAGTAAAATTTGGTATTGAAGTATTTCAATATGTTTGAAAAGTTTCCAAAATTAGATATTTCAAAATAAAAATGGAACAGGTATGGATATTTGCATTCTTGAATTTGTGTGTGTGTATTTCAAATTTCATTAAACTGCATTTAAGGGCTTTTTGAAGTATTATTTTATAAAAATAAAACTATTTGGTGGCCAGTACAAAATCCCACTGTTAGCTAAAGTCCTAATGCTCGTATCTCAAGGCACTTCAAAAAAAAATAAAAAATATGGGTCTTAGGATTCTCCTAGTCTTTTCCTATTGGAGTTAAACATTTCCAGAATCTGTGGGTTCCAGGTTTCTTAGCAGAAACTATAAATCAGACATAGATGGCTGAGAACGAAAAACATCATTGGAATAATTGTATAAGAAACTGTAGGCAAGTGGATCACCTGAGGTCAGGAGTTCAAGACCAGCCTGGGCAGCACGGTGAAACCCTGTCTCTACTAAAAATACAAAACTTAGCTGGGCGCGGTGCCTGTGATCCCAGCTACTTGGGAGGCTGAGACAGAAGAATTGCTTAAGCCCGCGAGGCAGAGGTTGCAGTGAGCCGAGGTCACGCCATTGCACTCCAGCCTGGGTGACAGCGGGGGACTCTGTCTCAAAAAAAAAAAAAAAAAAAAAAAAAAAAAGTACAATTTTGTTTACCAAAAGAAAGACATGAGTCCATGAGCTATTATTTAGGATAAAATATATATAGCTATATACATAAGAATCCAGCATCCTGAAATCTCCCAATTCTCTTATCTTTGAAGATGTACATGACAACAAGGAAGCTGAAGAGTGCAAAGATTTTAAGGCATAATTGTTGCCTTCTTTTTTTTTTTTGAGATGGAGTCTCGCTCTGCGGCCCAGGCTGGAGTGAGCGGCGCCATCTTGGCTCCCTGCAAGCTCCGCCCCCCGGGTTCCCGCCATTCTCCTGCCTCAGCCTCCCGAGGAGCTGGGACCACAGGCGCCGCCACCTCGCCCGGCTAGTTTTTTGTATTTTTAGTAGAGACGGGGTTTCACCGTGTTAGCCAGGATGGTCTCCATCTCCTGATGTGATTCCCGCACCTTGGCCTCCCAAAGTGCTGAGATTACAGGAATTGTTGGCATCTTATTCGCAGTTTATTCTAGATAAAATCTTTCCTCAAAACAGATAACTTAATGTCAAACTTTTATGGTATTGTTTACATTATAACCCCAAACCCTCAGTTACAAATTAGGAAAAAAAAAAACACTACCCTATTTTTAATTTTGTCTAGAAAATCATCCATGAAGTTACGGAGGCAGTGTTTAAACCGATGGAAAACACTGATATCTTGATTTACCACTGCTATTTGCGCTATTTGATGAGGAAATAAATATATAAAAACAGCAACAGTAAGGCAAGTCCTTAGCTATTTTGATTACCAAGATTGAGTAGAAGTGAGAACCCTCCCATATATGAACATTCTGTTCGCGCAGACAGCAGATCTCCTCTCCGATGAGCGTTAAGTGAATAAGTAAATAAATAAAGTATAATTGCTGTTATTGTTGGGGTATTCTCCTAGCCACACCTAAGGTAATAATTCCTGAATTGGAAGAGTAGGTATAAGCTACAGAATAAAAGAATAGGCTCTTTTTAATGTTGCTGATAAAAGTTGGATTTCGAAGTTAATGTATATATTTATATGTGTGTGGCAGGGTGTGTTTATCAATAATTACTTATATATAAATTGATAACAGACATAGGTACGATATTGAATGTATGCCTTGTATTTGGTGTCATGCTACACATCAACTTTTCATTTTAACATAGCCAATTTTAATACCTGATTATGTCTTTCATTAATAATTCAAATCTTAAGTATGAACAGCCTCATTGCCTCTGTGTTTTCTTATAATAACATATTGGCCATCTTGATTTCACATAAACAAATTGACTACAACACCCTGGCTTGATATTATCTTGACCAGACTTCTTTGAAGAAGACCAAGTAAAATCATGCCATGTGTTGATTGATTCTTTAGGTTTTAGCATCTATGGGAACACATCGAAACTTACTTGAAATAAGTAAAAGTAAATGTGCATATGAGGTTCACTATGTTCACTTACATGCCACTTCCAGAGATGCATTTCGACTCACTGCTTCACCAAGATAGTTCCTTGCAACACAGACGTAGCTTCCTTCATCAGGTTTACTTCTGCGCCCATGCACGATGCGCAAGAAGAATAAGGATCCGCTGGGCAGAAGCATCCTGTGGGACCGGGGATCGTCCTTGTCAGTCTCCACTCGCTCCCCATCCTTGTACCACTCAATGGTGGGCGTTGGCCGGCCCTCCGCCTTACAGTTGAGAGTCGTGGGCTCTCCCTTCGAGACGATGACATCAGAAGGGTGCTCCACAATCCGCGGGGGGAAGTCTTCCTGGCGAAGACGCGATCCTGCAAAACAGGACAGAATAAAGGCAAGCTTTAACATTGCCTTATCTCAACCTTCCGTTTCACTGAGGTTCCTGATGGTGAAATTAAACTCTTCAGTTATTCAATTGAATAGTATTTTATGTTTCGTTTTGTGTATGCATCTCAGAAGTCATCTCAACTCCTTTGTAGAATGGGGCAATTTACCAATAAATTAATATGTTAACTCAAAGGACTTAGGTTCAATGTGTTCCATGAATCATGACAAGCAGAAGTAAAAGAGGACAAGAGACTTTCTTGTTCTTCTGGGATCAGCATGGGTACTAAGATGAGTAACACTAATTTCCCGTCCTCAGATTGCTTGTTATATACTGAGGAAGAAAGTCACATAAGCAAGCACCTAGAAGACACACATAGATAATGTGCTGCCAATGTGTTATCAGACTAACGCAAAAAGAGACCTGCAAATTATGTACAAATATTATCTGCATTTAACAGATGAGGCAAAAGCTTAGTAAATGATGTCAGTTGCCCAGAAATGTAGATGAAGCTGCAGTAGAGGCAGGCTTTTGAACTCAGGTGTGTTTGACTGAAGAGCTCAAGTATAAATCCGTATGTTAAAATGTAATATGCTGCATAGAGGTATATAAGAAATGCACTATAGGCAGAAAGAAAAAAAATTAAAAGTTAACCCTAAATTAGGCATAATAAGAGATCTCTTCCCCCCAAAAAATTATATTTAGATGGAGCTGTAAAGAATGAAAAATTACAACTAAAAGAAAAAAGCATCATGTCAAGAGATACCATCAGCAAAAAGACAAAGAAATGAGAGTTATGTGCATGGTACGTTTCATAATCAGGAAGGAAGCTGATATGGCAGGAAAAGGTTTGAGGCAGCCTTGGAGCCTGAGACAATGGGCTTTGTACCGTGCTCAGGAGAGTGGGATGTTATTTTACATGGCTCCCAGATTCTTAAGGGAGCAGTGACATGACTATCTGTATAACTGAAAGATAGTTTTAGTCTGCATTATCAATAAGGGATAGCAATGGAGACATGAAGACAGCTGCAATTTACTTAAATAGTTCAAGAGAAAAATAAAAAGAACCTGACCTTGGGAAATGATGGTTTAGGTGGAAAAGAAGGAAAAATACACCCTATCGAAATGCTTGACAGAATTTGGTATATCACCATACACAGTACAACGAAAGAGAGATTGTACCAGTGACTTCCCGGTGAATGCAATACAAGTGGGGCCATAAGGGGTGTAAGAAATCAGAAGAGAGGCCGGGCACGGTGGCTCACACCTGCAATCCCAGCATTTTGGGCGGCCGAGGTGGGTAGATCACCTGAGGTCAGGAGTTTGAGAACAGCCTGCCCAACATGGCGAAACCTCATCTCTACTAAAAATGTAAAAACTTAGCTGGGCATGGTGGTGGACGCCTATAATCCCAGCTACTCGGGAAGCTGAGGCAGGAGAATCACTTGAACCCAGGAAGCAGACGTTGCAGTGAGCCAAGATAGCGCCACCACAATCCAGCCTGAGCGACAAGAGTAAAATTCTGTCAAAAAAAGAAAAAAAAAGGAGAAAAGAAAAGAAATAGGAAGAGAAGGATCTGTTGATATTTGTCATTTATATGGTGTCAATTACCATTATTCATGAAAATGTTCTACTAGCTGCTCCAAGTAAATAAAAAGGAGATGCTGAGAGGAATCACCATATATGGGGACATAATGATTATATAGATAAGCACTTCTTAAAAATTTGCTCTTATGTAAGACTTTCCAACCAATCACCTAATATGAGCACATTTCTCTTCAACAGATAGCAGTAATATTTACTTCTCAATGTTACCTCAGTTCATGCTCAATATCAATTGAAAATACATATTTTAATGTATTAAAGGGAATTTAATTCAGTCTTAAATAAACTTTTTTTTTTGAAGAGGATTAACTATCAAAAGTTGCTATTTTTTTTAATCACATTAGACCAAAAAAGAATGTATACATTACAAGTGTTAGATATCTAAAGCAAAAGAGTAATTTATGGTCTACAGGTCAGAAATTTTTTTTACAAAACTGAAGAGATCCAAAGCATATAGATAGGTAATTGTAGTATACATCACAATAATAAAGGTTATAGAGCATGAGTACCGGGTCTTAAAGCAATGAGGAATTTACAGAATATAAAAGTAACAAGGAATTTTTAAATTCATACTCAAGAAAGACTTCAAAGTTTTTAAATATGAGTGGCTGAATATAAGTAGCTTGCAAATCAGAAACATATTCTCAATGTAAATGTCTGGATACATAGCCATAGACTCTGATCCTAAAATACATCAAGAGTTTTATGTCACTTTTCATGTAACAGGCATATAGTAGGTTACAATCATCTCTTTAGATAGCCTCTTTGTTCTCCTTTAATCTCCCTATGCACGGTGACCTACATTCTCCCTACTGCAAAAACTGTTCTACTATTAAAAGTAAGCAAGTAAATCATCCATGCTACTAGGGTGCTATTTAGTATATCAACTTGTTCCCTAACTTATTAGGCAGTAGGCCTGGATATGGGCTGAATAAGACCTGAAATACACTAATACTTATTAAATAAAATATAAAATAATTGATTTATAAAAGAAAAAGTGACAAAATAGTTAAGCTATTTAGCAATAAGATTTAAAATCCAGTATGTCCAATGAGCACACAAAGCATTTTACTCATTTATCATTACAATATATGTAAACTATGTTACCTAGAGATTACAGTGCTGGCATGTCAGGATACTCATAATAGTTTTACTCCTACTTTAATAAAAACATCAAAGAACATCTACAACCTAAATATAAAAAGTAAAACTATGAAATGATTACAAGAAATTATAGAGGCAAGTTTTTATGATTCTGAGTTAAGTGATGGCTTCTTGGATATGATACCAAAAGCACAAGCAACAGAAGAAAAAAAGAGATAAACTGGACGTTATAAAATTTTTAAATACTTGTGCTTGAAAGACTACCCAGAGAATCAGAAAAAAATATACAAATCATATACCTAACAATGGATTTACGTCTAGAACATATAAAGAACTCATAGCTCAATAAAAATATAAATAATCAAATTTTAATATAGGCAAAGGATTAGAATAAGTAGTTAGACAAATTTGTCAAAGAAGTTAGACAAATAGTGATAACCACATAAAGAGATATTCAACATCATTAGCAATTAGATAAATGCAAAACAAAACTACAGTGAAACACACTTCGCACCCACTAGGACGTATCTAATCAAAGCAATGTAAAATAACAAGTATTGTCAAGGGTGTGGAAAAACTGAAACCCTCATCCATTGCTGGTGTGAATTTAAATCGTACAGTCACTTTGGAAAACAATCTGGAAGTTCCTCCAAATGTCAAACATGTAGTTACCATATGACCCAGCAATTTCACTCCTAGATATATATCACCCCAAAATGAAACCATACATCCACACAAAACTCACTCATGAATATTCATAGCAATATTATTCACAATAGCCAGAAAAGTAGAAACAACCCAAATGTCTACCAACTGAATGGATAACAAAGAATCAATCAACAAAATAAATGTCCATGATGAATAAATAAAATGTGCCATATCCATATAATAGAATATTATTCAGCCTTAAACATGAAGTATTAATAATACATGCTGCAACATAGATGAACTTTGAAAAAATAAGTGAAAGAAGCTAGTTGCAATGGACCATATATTGTACGATTCCATTCATATGAAATGTCCACAGTAGGAAATCCATGGACGTAAAATGCAGATTAATGCTTGCCTAGGGCTGGGGTATGGAAGTGGGGAATGAAGGTGGCCTGGGAAAGTGCTGCCAATGGGGGTGGGATTTCTTTAGGGATGATGAACATATTCTAAAATTAATTATGGTGATGGTTACATTATTCTGTGAATATAATAAAGATTATTATACACGTTGGGTGAATTTTGTGGAATATGAATATCTCAAGCAATTTTTAAAAATTGATAGATAAAAGAGCACTGTGAACACGTTTAATAAAAGGTGTGTAACAATTTGTCCTCACTCCTAACAACAGTTAACGTTATTTTCTTCATTTATAATTTTAGGTTATAATGAAATCATCAGGCCTGCAGTAGAGCATTAGGACATAAAGTGAACTGTAACAGTCTTGCCAGCCAGATAGGTAGATTAGAGAGATAGAGAGAAAAATAGATTAGAAAGACAGACATAGATATGCAAAAATACAGCTACAATCTAAGTTTTACGATGTTATTAAAAATATGGGGATTCATTCGGAGCTTTCTTAAATTCAGACATTACATAACAATAGCAGTGGTCTTAAATTCAGACATTACATAACAATAGCAGTGGTCTTAAATTCAGACATTACATAACAATAGCAGTGGTCTTAAATTCAGACATTACATAACAATAGCAGTGGTCTTAAATTCAGACATTACATAACAATAGCAGTGGTCTTAAATTCAGACATTACATAACAATAGCAGTGGTCTTAAATTCAGACATTACATAACAATAGCAGTGGTCTTAAATTCAGGCATTACATAACAATAGCAGTGGGTCTTTAAGATGGACTCAATGCCTAAGTCTTCCGATTCTTTAAAACTGTGGAAACGAGTAATATTGTGTAAAGGGGAGGCAGCAGTGGTGGTGTGGGGTGGGGGGTGTAGCTTTCATCACATTCCCAAAGAGGGTGGGCCTTTAAGATTACCAAGGAGCACTAAACTACTGGGTATTCTGTGTTATCGGCTAAAACAACTCCATTATTTGGTCAAAAACCAAAGCTGAGTTGTCAGCAAAACTCACTGGGGACTGAGAACAGAACAGTAAGGGGGAATGGGGGTTGTTTGTCACATGAAGTGCCATGAAGCAGCTCAACCTCAACATTTCGGGAATCTAAAGTGTGAGCCCCTCGACTAGCAACAGAAGCATGATCCGAAGGCACATTCGAAATCGAGGATCTCAGGCCCCAACCCGCATATCTCAGATCTGAATCTGCATTTTACCAAAATTCCCCTGTCTTCATTAGGTATTTGTATGCACAATACCGTTTGATAAGCACTGCGCACACCAGTTTTTGTATGGCTCTGAGCTAACAATGCTTTTAAAAGAGGAGGAGGAGGAAAGGGAAGAGAAGGGGGATGAGGAGGAGGAAGAGGTAACAAAGAAAACGTATATAGCCTGTGAAGCTTAAAATATTTAGTAAGGTTTTTGCCCACCGTGCTCAAGAGTACCTGATTATCATTTTCCATTACAAAGTTCATTTTTAATTTAGATTTATTTTAAAAATAAATTTATAAATGTATAAATATCTCTTCTACAGATTTCAAATGAAAATTAGTTTGACAGCAACGTTAATATTGCCCATATAATGAGAAATTATTCAAGACTCCTATTTGAACAGATATGCTAAGCGATGTATGAAAATAACTATCTACAATTCTAATTTTGCTTGTGGCTGATATCATGTCTGGCATCTTTTTATATCTCAATTATTAATTGGGCAATCAGTCAAGTTTTAATTAAAATAATTTATTCAATTATCTCTGTGTAAATGTATATATATGTATGTGTGTGTATATATAGATACATATATATATATTCCCTCTTTCTTTTATAATGATAAAGATAATTAAAATTGGTCAGAGGTCCTAAAGATGAACAGCCAAATGTTTATTTTTACTGTCCAAGAAAATAAGTTGTGAAATTGTCATGCAAATTGTCCATAATTGAATAGATAGGAGAAGCAGAATTAGAACTCATGACCTTTAATCCAAAATGTGCCAGGCTTCTTTAGAAACGAATGGAGGACCAAGTAAAGAATGGACATGGCACCTAGGCTAATTCCAAAGCCCTCTTTTAAAGCTGATTTCTTTTTTATTTTTCTTTTTTTTTTTCAGGCAGAGTCTCGCACTGTCACCCGGGCTGGAGTGCAGTGGCACAATCTTGGCTCACTGCAACCTCCACCTCCCAGGTTCAAGCGATTCTCCTGCCTCAGTCTCCCAAGTAGCTGGGATTACAGGTGCCCACCACCATGCCCAGCTAATTTTTCTGAATTTTTAGTAAAGACGGGGTTTCACCATGTTGGCCAGGCTGGTCTCGAACTCCTGACCTTGTGATTCACCTGCCTTGGCCTCCCAAAGTGCTGGGATTACAGGTGTGAGCCACCGTGCCCGGCTAAAGCTGATTTCAATAAAATGCATCACATGAATGTTGCTAGTCATAATTTCAGCAGAAAACATTTTCCTTGTTCTTCAAAGCCTGATTCTCGGACTGCCTGCATCAGAATCATCTGGGTTTTTTTTTTTTTTCTAATGCTTCATGAATTTGCATGTCATCCTGGCCCAGGGCATGCTAATCTTCTCTGTATTGCTTCAATTTTGGTATATGTGTTGTCAAAGTGAGCACTAAGATATTTGATATTTATTTAAAATACAGATTTTTTTTTTTTTTTTAACAGAGACTTGCTCTGTCGCTCAGGCGGAAGGGCAGTGGCACGATCTTGTCTCACTGCAAACTCCGCCTCCCAGGTTGAAGCAATTCTCGTGCCTTACACTCCCGTGCAGCTGGGACTACAGGCACGCACCACCACACCTGGCTAATTTTTTGTATTATTAGTAGAGATGGGTTTTCGTCATATTGGCCAGGCTGGTCTCGAACTCCTGGCCTCAAGCGAGCCTCCTGCTTTGGCCTCCGGAAGTGCTGAGATTACAGGCATGAGCCACCTGACCCGGCACCAGATTCTTAGTCTCCAGAGTGAACGCGGTGCATCAGAAATTACCAGTGAAAGATTCCAAGACGCTGCATCTTTTCCATGCTCACGGGAAGATCACGCCCTCAGACCTGGCTAGATGTAGCGTTCCACAGCATCATCAAGTGAGCCAGCCAGATGCACATGCATCTGTGAATAATGTTCTAAGCAGCTTAATTTGCATAATGGATTATTTCTGCTTCTCAGAGGCTCTCAAACAATGATTTTGTAATGATTTTTGATGAAATATTTGATATTTTAAAAGTTGAGTGGTATATTAGCACTTCAAATTTTTGAAGGTGAAGTATAAATTATAACTCATCAATATAGTTTAGTTTTCTTTAGTCAGTAACTGCTCATTTGCAGTGAGCGCCAGAGAACATTTGTTTTCAGGAAGAGATTTCAATCACATAGTATAACAAAGGAGGAAAATGCCTCTAGAATACTTGTTGATTTCATTTCACGAGTTGCAAAGTAAATACTTCTGCCTCATTGAGTTGGAGTATAGTATTTCCTTGAACCAAGTTTTATTTTTCTTTTACAAACTGGATAGCCTTGTCAACTATTAGTCCCTCCGCAAGTCAAGCAATGTATTTCAAACTGTTCTAAATTTTTCTGAGGGCAGAAGTTCTCAGCAAATTAGGGACAGGGTGTGAAATATACTTCCTCCAGCAAAATTTCTATTCAGTGTTCATTTTTCTCTCTTAAAAATGTATGTCACAGTATGTTCTAGCCATAACTATGTCTATTTTAACAAAATATTGTTCCCCAAAATGATGTAAATAAAACTAACCTAGGAAGATTCTCCAGGATTACTTCACTTCTGAATGTGATCAGAGCCACCTGCTGATACGAGAGACACAGAAGCACTACATGAAAAGGTGAAGGCTGCCTGACATCACAGTAGGAAGGAGGCAGGGTGGTACAAATAAAGAACACAGGTTACTGATCAGTTCGCATTCACGCCTCATTTGTAACAGGTAGATCGGACATCAATGCTACAAAGAGTGGTTTAGGCCGGGCGCGGTGGCTCAGGCCTGTAATCCCAGCACTTTGGGAGGCCGAGGCGGGCGGATCACGAGTTCAGGAGATCGAGACCATCCTGGCTAACACGGTGACACCCCGTCTCTACTAAAAATACAACAAATGAGCCGGGCGCGGTGGCGGCGCCTGTGGTCCCAGCTCCTCGGGAGGCTGAGGCAGGAGAATGGCGGGAACCCGGGGGGCGGAGCTTGCAGGGAGCCAAGATGGCGCCGCTCACTCCGGCCTGGGCCACAGAGGGAGACTCCGTCTCAAAAAAAAAAAAAAAAAAAAAAAGGGAAAAAGGGTGGTTTAGAAGAATCATATATATGGATCACCAGGATGGGTCGTAAGAATTCAGTGTGATATTTTTTCTCCTCCTGCAAAACATGACAAATACTCCAACTCCAAATTTTACTTCCAAAATTTAGCCCACGAAACTCTATAATCCCATTGATAATAGTTTTTCTTTGCTGAGGATGATTTACATTAATGTCTTATTGCTTGATATATTTTAGCTGGGCCAGGCTGATAGCTTTACACTAGATTTCCAAAGAATTAGAGTTGTTACTATTTATCCTTAGTCAAAAATATATCCAATTCAAAATTTCCCTCACTGAAAGAAACATAACTCAGTGCCACTGCAAATGCTATGTACATTGATTAGTGAGCTCAGGTAATCTGCAATGAAATGGAGTTAATGAATCACTCCATCAATCCATCAAGTCTGTCCATAACAACTTTTCCATCCTTGAATTCTTCATGATGATTAAATTTCAGCTTACTTTGCTTATGAAGGAGGAGGGAATAGAAAAGTATTATGAGATAACTTTTTTTTTTTTCCTAGAGGTCCAGTGATGTGATAGGATATAGTGAGAAGGTCAATGTTTGGAAAACATGAAGGCCATTTTATCCACTTGAACTTTACTAAAACTCTCTCAGGAGATTTCCTAATTTGCCATTGGTCTAAATAAACTTTTAAGATTATTATTCCTTCTGGAAGCACAGCAGTGCTATGTTAATAAGTCTAAATTTGAAACAAAATCAAAATTGGGACCTGGAAATACTACTTATTTTTTAGAAAATTTCAAAATAACTTTTCAGTGTCCTAAAACTACAGGGCTTATAGTGTGAAAGGGAATTGACAAGGATAAAAGAGGTTTGCCAAACTCAACAGGCAGTCTTGATTCTGAAAGTTTCCAGTTGTACAAAATAGCACCCCTGCAACATCTCTGTGCTCGCTTTCCAGATCCAGAAAACAGGAGATTAAGCTATCAGAGGTCCTTTTACAAACCCTTATTTTATAGATGAGGAGGAAAAATAGAGTACTAAAGAACTGAAGTTTCTTTCCCAAAACGGAAACTAGAAGGGTATAGTTGTCTTAGCTGTGGGTCCAAGCTCTGTTTTCAGGATGACGTTTTCTTCTCTATCACCTCTTCTTCGTACCCAAATTTTGGAAGTCTAAAATATTATTAGAAAATCCCAAGCACTAGATTTCAGTTGTTTTTGGTTTGGCTTTTTATCTGGACCAATATACGGTTAGTTATATCACCTTAAGCAATTACCTAAACTGGTTTTTTGTACTATTTATCCCCAAATGGAGGTCAGTGGAAGAGTAAATTGCTACAGTCTCATTGTTCCGTAGCATGATCACACTCTTTATGGCTGTCACATTAATGGTATCTTAACAGACATATCTAAAAGAAAGCATAATGAGTAGCAATTTAAATTTATGAACACAAGGTACATTTTTTTAAAATGTACATATATACACGTGTGTATATGTGTGTGTGTGTGTATATATATACACATGCATATATAATATTGAAGATAAATTTTGAAACCCCTAATCTGAAAGTTTCTAGAAAACTGTTAGGGGTGATTTTCCTCCTGAGAAATAACAAATTACTCTTCTACTTTATAAATTCATTTCCAACAATTCAGCGAGGAGCCAATGTATTAACCTGGATATTCATCCAATACTCTTTCAAATCAATTTGCTACATCTTACATGGTTGAAGGTATTCTTTAAAGTGTGATTTACTGCCCAATCGGAGGTTTTCATGGCTTATGCAAATTCACGTTACAATGACAAAAACAATCCCTATTCCAGGAAGATAGCTTTAAAGTCTGGCTTCCTATTATCATATTTATAATATTTGGATGTGGTTTGAAATTACATTTGGCTTTACAAAAGGTGATGCAATGAAACAATCTCAAAACTCATTAAATTGTCTGATAATGTTTAATTTTCTAAAAACCACTGGCATTTATTTAATGAAGACTATGGGTTGGTCTCCAGAAAAGGGGATTCTACTTAACCAAACTCTGAACAGAGTGGCATCACTTTGGCGTTCTATTATATTTCCTTCTATTTCTATATTCTGAAAATTCTGTGGCAGTAGCATTAATCTTAGGAACTGAAGATGCCAAAGGACCCAGTGTCAATGTCTAAAAAACACCATTCCCACCAGCAATGACATTTTACACATGTGTGTGCTAAGCTTTGTTAAATACTTAGTTAATACATTTGTCTGGAACTCTTGATAAACTTTCCTGTACCCCAAAATATTTCATAATAAAGTTAAATTGAGATTCAATGATCCTACTTGAAATTTCAGACAAACTTCTTTTGCTACATAAGTATATAAAGGATTTTTAAAAGACAGATGGAAAATAGATTACAATCCAATAGTTTCTTAAAGGAATAATGGCTAAATCACGACCCAAAAAATTATAGCTTTCATCAGCCAAATGCATTAGTTGCATCATGTCCAACGGATGCACACAATGACTGATTTTAGGCTTGTTTATTTCTAATCAATATTCATCTACTACAGAATTTGGCCTAAGATGCAAATCTCATTGCATTCCTCCATTATTTTAAAAATATGATTTATAAACCACGGACTGGTTTATGTGGAATGGAGATAAGGGATGGCACTGCAGGCACTGGATGTGAAATTTTGTGCAGATATGTGCATGTTCCTTTTTAAGAAACAATAAAGAATATTTTTGGTAGTTAATATAAATCAGATGTCAGTAGGAGGACTGACTTGAAATTTCTCTTGTTCCAATGCTGAAAAGAAGCGTGAATGAACCCAGGCAAATGTCTTACCTTCTCTGCATCCTGTTTCTTTTCCCTATCTATAAAACATAGCAGTATCAGCCGAATAACATTGTTGAGAAGATTGAATGCGATTTTTCCATGGGCTGAGTACACAGCAAGCACTCATTAACTGTTCCCTACTAGTGCAAGCATTATTATAATGTATAACTCTTTTGTTAGTATAACCTCTATCTCTATACTCAAAGAAGTCTGTAACCCCCTTAAAAACAATGAACCACAATTCTATAAGATATGGCCTTTTTAAAGCAAATATTGATGTCTAGTAACTCTGTGTCCCTCTAAACTATTTTACTGAAATATATACCAATACTTTATTTTTCATTATAAAAATCTTGGAATGACTCCATGATTAATGCATAGGAAGCATCTTTTTTTTTTTTTTTTTTTTTTTTTTGGTTGCTTTTCCACTATAAGTTTAGAAAGAATTAAGGGATATTAAATAAACTTTATTGAGGGCACAATAACATGACTTAAGTGACATGGCAGGAATGGGAATATTATCCGAATATTATCCGAAACTGACTTTTACCAGTAGTTTCAAGAGATGGTCAAAACAAAATCATTCTCATCCTTTTAAAGCAATATACTTTTCCTAGAAATTTCTAAATGACACCTTTATGAAATTGTGTATCTTTAAATAAAAGGCCCAAGTCAAAAGTGACTATAGTGATCCCAAAGATGAAAAGAAGGATTTCCTCTTGGATGGTGGAAATGGCCATAATCGAGTTGATTTACTTTATAGTGTACAATGGCTTTTGGAATTCTTTCCTGAAGTTTGTATCTTGGGAACAAAGGAGGATTATGAAAGTATCTAAATACAACTCAGGTTTATGGCTTTGTCTTTGTACCATACTCAGAATGAATGGATTTTCACAGTTGACCAAACTGAACAGAAGTGACAGCATCATATTTCTTTAGGGGTATTTGGAGGATATACACCTAAATTGTTAAGTGTTTGCTCCACCAAAAACACCTTAGATATGTGACATAAAATAGCTTGAAAAGGGGGCTATGTTCTATCAGTTGCAAATAGCTCTAAAATTTGGAATAAGTCCTGATTACAAAATTGCAGAATCCTATAGAAAATTTCGGAGTTTGTATTTTGCTGCATTAAAATAATAAATAAATATAAATTTACATCTTTAATAACAATATTTTCTCCAGTTTTATTTGGGAAATCGTAACAATTTTGAGGTGACAACTGCAGTAAGGCTATGCACAGTGGGTTTTACATACATTTAAGAATTTTGCAAATTTGAGTTATTTTAGTACATAAAGAATATAAGTTACTTTAATGATCAGGATACTTTTCATGTGGGGATCTACTTTCTCTTCACTTATGTCTATTTATGGTATCTATTGATGCCTTTTTAGTGAGTGATTTAATAAAACTTTAAATTTCCTTTCAGGAGAGGTCTTCTGTTTCACAGCAAAATGACCAGCAGATAACATCACTGCTGCAACACAAATACCGAGTGTAGTTTTCAGTTAAAAGATTCTGTGTGTGCACAGAGAAAAAAAAAGAGCTTCTTTTTCTGCTGAATGGAGAAAAGCAGCAAATGTGAGTGCTATAAACGTTTTTAAACGATCTTTTTCTGCTTGAATTATGTTTCACTAAAATATATGAGTCTCAATTCCGTGAGTCTCAAAAAACATCTGCAGCTTCTAGAAAAGTTATGGAATAATGTTGTTTTCCACTCAGCCTATTTGCTTTGAAGCCTTATCAGAGGAGGGATCAAATGAAAGTGATCATCCCCGGGCGTCCCCAGGTTATTACCATGTGGACATGGAATTAACCTCCATCCAGCCACTCTCAAAATGCGGTGCTTTCTTGTCACAAAGCACAAGAGTGGAACACAGAATTATTCTGGATTATGCTAAAAGGAAAGAAAAATGCTGACAGGAAGAGGTATAAAAATGTAACGCGATAAGGTTTGTGAAACACAAGAATGACGATAGCTTCGAACAGGGTGCTATTTTTAAAATGTAGGAAGTTGCCCTTACCATCAAATATTCAATATATCAAACTCTGATCAGTTGGATTTTATAAACAACCAGCAACTGAAAATCTGGAAGAAAATGAAAAGTATACAAATTTTAAAAGACTATAATGATGTTTGCCTAATCCTTTCCCACTTTCAGATGAGGCAATAATAACTGAATTTTAGTTTTTTAGTGACGCGCTCACGGCTGTTGAATTTTTTTTTAAAAAAAAGAACATTATTACTGGTTACTTTTGTTATGAATTTCCATTTTAAATAGCAGAAAAATATATTTGAGTTTTATGTAAACTAGTGAACTAGAAGTTTGAATTGTCTAGTAATTTGACTCAATAGTTAACACCTCCCAAGGTATGTGTGCCTTAGGTGTCTTCTCTTCAATGGAGATAATTCACTCATTCCATAGAGAACTCATTCCCTCTCACAGTGTTCAGGAATTCTCTCTATGACAACAATAGCCAAAGAGGAGTCTAGTATCTCCAGCCAAGGAGAGCTCTAGGCTTTGTTCGGGCGCCCACCTGAACACTCAGTCATCACCTCAAGGTCCCTCTATCTCAGAATGAAGCCCTCACCTCTCTCCTTGTCCCACACTTCATCATCTCTCCTTCCTGACAGCAACTCCATCTTTCTTCAGGTCCCTAATGCTCAGAATCCCAGCTGTGGGGTTTAACTCTTCCATTTCTATCATAACCACTTAGGCACACATTTCTGTGGATTCTTCCTTCTTTCTCCAGGTTTGTGTCTGGAACTGACTGCCTCTCAGTTCCACAGTCGCCATCTGTCTCTCGACATAATTTCACACTATCATTATTCTAAATGCCTCATCGCTTCTCCCCTCCAGGTATGTTCTTCCCCTTTCCTCGCCACTCCATTCCTAGGAAAAACGCATACAGATTTTGGAACAGTTAGTCATTGCTTTTCTTTAAACAAACACAAAGTAGGTTGGCCAGGCAAATCTCAAACTTTTATGGGGTTTCCTAAATTTTCATACTCCCTTGGCCAGAAGATCTACTTATTCATCAAATTGACTTATAAACTGGACCTCCCTAAGTCCATCTTAGGCATCCAGAATTATTCAAGTTGCCTCATGAGTCTTAGATGAAGCATAAAACTCCGAACCTCCAAGCTGGGGCTCGGCGCTTATTTGGACGGAATCTACTCAGGCTGCCACGGGGTCTTTGTGGCGCGGATTGGCGGTCAAAGGTGCCAGAACGTCACTTTACACTAGAACTTGGCTGTGTTTCTCATTTCCTGAGTTCACTGAACATTTGAAAAACTACACGGACCGCAGGGGGGAAAATGAGATGCAGAGTTCTCTATTTCGTCGAGGTAGCTTGTGCCTGACATATTTATCTAAACTGCCCATGTTGAAATCAGGTCCATGGGCCAACTGTTCAGATATGAATCCCGCAATGATGATGGAGGCATTGATATAATCTGGCTGATTTTTTTTCCATTTGGTGTGAGTACATTTAAATACTGTGTAAAATTTTTAAAGAATTTCCTATTAAATAGGGTCCTCAATTCAATCTCTGGACATTCCTTGTAAGATTAGCCAAAACAAAAAATGTTTTAAGTGTAGCAGCATGCATATACATTCACTTGTCACGAGTACATTTGTACGTACTAGAGTGTACATACAATACACTACGTGTGTATATATACATATATGTTACTATGAAGCATTTGAATCAAATGCACCTAAACACTGAAAGAAATTGAATATATATGTGTGTATATATATATGTTAATTAATATATCTGCTGATATATTTCACAGGAGAAATATATCAACAGGCTAAAGTCCATCGAGAATCAGAAAATCGGGAAGTTGTATCTCTGTTATCATTAGTTTACAACCAACTAATTTCTTTAATTATCCTCACAGGGGCTAAAAAAGGTATTAAATACCCAATGATCAGTCACAGAAACACAGGCAGGGATAAGAGCACAATCTATGACTTTGCCAGGCTCAGTCAGCACCACCTTGATGTACTGATGTTTCTTAATGAAGACAACCACCACCAATTAGACAACTGACGATTAGACTGAAAACTGAAGTGTCAAGACGTGAACAAGCAGTGACCGCTGAATACTACATTATTTTTAGGTGGCATTTAATCACCATCATAATAGCAATAACAAATTTTAGTAATATTTCTTTACTACAAGAAGTAATTCAGCTTTATACTTTATACTTTGCAGGCTAATCTGTGAGCGTTTTTCCCTCTCCTTTTTAAATTTTGTTGGAATATAGCTTAAAACAGTCTCTTATTATGACCAAGTTACATCAGTTTGTATACAATTAGAAACATCAGCTACGCATTGTTTTTAAATATAGGGCCTCTGCAGTTGGTGTGCATAGAATCTGGATGCATCAGACCTCAGTTTCAGTCCTGGTTCCCGGAGGGCAGGTTATTTCTACTTCTGAAGTGAAGATACGAGGAATTTTAAAGCATCAGATTCTTTAGCCAATATTATGAGTGATTACAAAAAACCACCCAAGCACTAGAGTCTGGGGAGGATGCAGGAGAATTCCAGGTCAGCCTGAATAAGGAACAGCCATCTGTGTCTGTATCCATATCTCCATTTATAGCTATATAGTATTCCCACATTAAGCACACTGCCTGAAGAGCTCATTGCTCATAGAATTTTCTGCAATAAGCTAAGAATGTTACAATACTTAACACACTTTTGCACAAGCCACTGCCTCCCTTCAACATAACCAAAATAGAAATTCTTCGTGCTCACACACTGGCAGGCAGCCCACATTTGCCTGTATCACGATTATTTCTGAATGACTTGGCACAACCTTTCATGATATGCTTCTTGCATCACAGGATTTGATGTTCCATTTTTGCCCAGCTCATCACGTTCGTCTCCAGAAGAGAAGCTGTATTTGCCTGATTGTTATTAACACACAGGGGCATTTCTTCATGGCTGTCCTTAGAGTGCACACTCTCAAGCCGCCTTAGAGGTGAGGTCACCTTTGGATCTCCACTAGCTCAGTTCCTTTGGATGGCATCCAAGACAGAACTGCCTTCTGCCGAATTTCACTGCTGTGGCCAATGAAGTAATAATGAGACTCTTGTGGCAATGCCCCTTGGATTGTAAACAATCAAATTCCCAATATAAGTACCAGCATTTACAATGATGTGTTTATTTTCATTTTATTTCATTTAACTTTTTTTCTTTAACAATCAGAGCCAAACACTGTATATCAAAATATATGATAGTGTCAGTAACCTGTAATTTTCCATAACCTAACAAACTAGACCGTAGATATCAAACACACAACACACATGCACATGAGTATAAACACACACAATCAAGAGAACAAAATTTTTCTCATTTTTCCCCTCAAAATACCACTCAACATTAATGTCAAATATTTGAGCCATTAAACAAAACACGCAACTCCGGTGAATACCTTATAAAAACCATAACGTAAAATACACATAATTATATAATCCGATTAATATGCCCACTCTTTAGTGGAACGATGCTTCAGCATTAATGTAAGCCTCCAAATAACTATATATTTATGAAGAGAAATACACAAGCAAATGTTTTCCAGCTTTCTGCATTCATACCAAAGGCAGTTGTGTGCGTGAGGGAAAGGGCACAGGTCTACCCTTACAGTCAACTGTAGCTAGCTCCGCTCAAGAGAGCTTTCCAGTTCTTGGCAGAATAACAAATTCTCAAGCAGAAAGGGGATAGGGGTGAGATTTTTTCCTCCTGTAAGTAACTTAATGAATGAAGTACTAATTAACATTATGGCATTGATAAATGGAGAGAGAGATTAGGGATGTACTCGATATTCAGACCTTCGCAGATGGACTGTCAAAGCCACATTAATTCCTATCTCATTGGAGCATCTGCTTCTCCCATAATCCACTGGCCCTTGGTACGAACAACACAAACTGTTGTGACTCAATTCGATTTATATCAATCTAATTTCTTTTAATCCAATTTGTATTCCAATCTACTACCTTCTAATCACTTAAATCTTCAGCCTCCATCTGGTAAATTTTCTCTCAAAATTAACCCAGCAGATGCCTCTGCGATTGTCTTCCACAGTCAAGCTAATCAGACCCTCGCAGGGGCCTGTAGAACCCACTGAATAGGTACGTGACTTACAGTGTTGTCCTTCTAGTTACAAACACAGCGAGGTAGGAAGACCACTTCATCTACCATTAATTGGTTCATTTGCATAACACTGCTTGGGAAAAAACACAGGACACAAAAGCCAAGAGAAGAAAAATACAGGAAGAAAGCAAAATGTGCCCATTTGTCAAGTGAGCTTTACAATTCGATCTATCTTTTGTTTGAGTTAACAAACACGGAGCCAGAATATTATTTAACACTGTACGGTGGAATAGGCTGCCCTCTGTACTCTACAGAATTAAAAGAGTTTGTCTAATAACCACAAAGTCATACTGAGACCCAGCTTTGGTTCATCAATATGTTCTTAAAATCAGCTTCTGAATTTCAGAACCATGTGCTAATTTATTCACTCGAGCCTATGTGATATAAACAACACAGCCCTAGCTAGCACTGACATCCACTTTCATAGGAGTTCCACTGTGACCCACAATTAAGGTCACAGATTCAACAGTCCCCTATAAGCAAACTAGACAGCACTACCTGTGGAATAAACATCATTATGAGGACACAGTAATTAGCAAAAATAAATTAATAAAGAAGGGACTAAGAGCATATAAAGGCAAACACTATGGTAAACTTCTTTCACATGAGACTTATGAGGTTGCTTTCATTAACTTATGGCCATACTTCTTATATAGTAGATCTTGATTATACTTAAAAATTTTGTGGTTTTTTTTTTTCAAATTCGAAGTCATCATCAAGTAGAAATATTCAGGTATTCAATGTAGCTACATGATGAATTGGCCTCAGGAAGACCTTTGTTGTTAGGGAAAACCTTGAAGGCCAGCCAAGAAAATCATTAAATCTAGAACATAGTCTATCTTGGAATGAAGGATACCTGTAAAGTCAGTCTCATTAACATTATGAAACAGAAACATCAAAGTTCCTTCATAAAGCATAACAGAAAGTATTAATAGTTGAACTAAATAATTAAATATAGAGGCTGAGTGTGGCGGCTCACGCCTGTAATCCCAGCACTTTGGGAGGCCAAGGTGGGTGGATCACCTGAGGTCAGGAGTTCGAGACCAGCCTGGCCAACAAGGTGAAACTTCATCTCTACCAAAAATACAAAAACTAGCCAGGCATGATGGGTGTGCACCTGTAATCCCAGCTACTCAGGAGGCTGAGGCAGGAGAAGTCCTGGAACTCAGGAGGCAGAGGTTGCAGTGAGCCAAGATCCCGCCACTGCACTCCAGCCTGCGTGACAGAGAGACTCTGTCTCAAAAGAGAGAAAGAGAGAAAGAGAAAGAGAGAAAGAAAGAAAGAAAGAAAGAAAGAGAGAGAGAGAAAGAAAGAAAGAAAGAGAAAGAAAGGAAGGAAGGAAGGAAGAAGGAAGGAAGGAAGGAAGGAAGGAAGGAAGGAAGGAAGGAAGGAAGGAAGGAAAGGAAGGAAAGGAAGGAAAGGAAGGAAAGGAAGGAAAGGAAGAAAGAAAAGAAAGATCAAGGAGAAAGAAAAAGAAAGAAAAGAAAAAAAAAAAGAAAAGAAAAAAAAGAAAGGAAGGAAGGAAGGAAGGAAGGAAGGAAGGAAGGAAGAAAGAAAGAGAAAGAAGGAAAGGAAGGAAGGAAGGAAAGGAAGGAAAGGAAGGAAAGGAAAGGAAAGGAAAGGAAAGGAAAGGAAGGAAGGAAGGAAGGAAAGAAAGGAAAGAAAGGAAAGGAAAGGAAAGGAAAGGAAGGAAGGAAGGAAGAGAAAGAAAGGAAGGAAGGAAGGAAAGGAAGGAAAGGAAGGGGAGGGAAGGGAAGGGAAGGGAAGGGAGGAGAGGAAAGAAGGAAGGAAGGAAGGAAGGAAGGAAGGAAGGAAGGAAGGAAGGAAGGAAGGAAGGAAGGAAAGAAGGAAAGAAGGAAGAAAGAAAGAGAAAGAAAGAAAGAAAGAAATTAAATGTAGAATCTGTTTCTACAATTCTGACAACAGTAAGATATAAATGACAAGCGGCTGGGTCACTGAGCGTTCAAAATAACCAGAGAAACCCAGCTGCAGAAATCAAAGGGCTGTGGGAAACTGGTAGCACTGGTGAGTTGTGGGGTGGTAGGAGGCACTGATCCATTTCTATTTCAGCCCTAAGACAGCCAGTGACACACACCACTCAATGAATAAAACCAAATACTTTTGGGCCCACTCCATTTCACATTTGCTACTAGAACACTTTGTCTCTCTGAGACTCAGTTGTTTCATCTGTAAAGTGGATTGAAAATTCTATCTGCTGCTACATACTATGTTAAGGATGAAATGAGATCAGACATGTAAACTGCACTTTTTTTAATGTCAAAGCACCATATCAATATATATCAATGGCAGGGCCATTGAAGAACATGAACTCTGGACTGAAATTTGAGAACCAGACTCAGGGGTTGTGCAATGTGGGCAAATTGCTAACTCCCAAACCTTGGTGTAAAATGGTGACGATAATATCTCCTACCCCCTGTTATGAGAAGAAAATGAATTCATCTATGTAGCATACTTGAGGGCTTGGGACAAAATATCCCGGGAAAACATGTGTCAGCTAAAACATATAAGCTAAGAGCATTTTGTTTACATTGTAAGTTTTCAAATATGTTTTTAATCTGGATGTTTATAAACTGCTCAGTAGCTAAAAAGCAGTGTGTATTTTCTCAATGATATTTTTCTTTTCAATAACAAAGGCAAATCAAGTTGTAATAATATAATTATGTAAGGTGTTGCATTGAGGTGTATCCATATGCGTGGAAATACAATTGTAGTCAATAAACTAGTTTTGATTGGCTCTCATATGAAAACAGTGACTTCACTGATATCAATAATGTCATTAATTACTGAAACAAAGCTACTGTATACTAGACACCAGACAGTGTGCTGGGGGTGGACTTGAGTGCCAACAAGGCTCACAAAATTGACTTAAAATTGTAAAAGTATTGGTTAAAAGCCCACTTTCCTAATCCTGGCCTCAAGGAGAAAGCAGAGAGAAGCTGGCAGAGATTCTAGAATATCCAGGAATGATTATCTACGCAGCTGAGCCACCAGTACACTCAAAGACCCCTATCTATTCCACATCTGTTATAGCAAAGAGCAGACCTTGATGGATAAGAACATACATGTGTGTGTATATGAATAGTCAAGCAGACTAGATGCTACTCTGAAAAACAAAACCGTTGAAAATCTAGACAAGACCACAAGACTGGAAAGTCCAGCTGATGATGGACCAAGGCCCCAGCTTCCATTTTACCACAGTCCCAGCTGATTGTTTCTCCAACCTTTTAAGCCTCAGTACCAAGACCCACCCCAGCAATCGCCCACTTTAACTGAAGCTAGAATTGATAAGGCTTGCTGGTCACTTGTATACAATAACTCAAGAAGTAGCTGATCCATTGTTGTCCTAGAATTCCAATTATTTATAAAGATCTTGTTTCTTCTGCAATATTTAACTTAGTACTTCTGATGTCCAGCATAGTACCCTGGTATATGTATATGTTTAATTCACTTTCAATTATACTATAATAATATCCAATAACAAAAATTATCAATACGGCTATAATTTACTGAATTTTTAGACACCAGTGCTTTACCAAGATTATTTTATTTCATTCTCACCACAAGCTTTGTGTGGTGATCTCTGTTTACAGATGAGGAATTCGAGAATTTAAAAGCTTGTATAGATGCACAAGAAACTGTCATTATCCACAGTACTCAAGGCTTTCAAAACATAATCGAAAGTTGTTGTGCTCTGTTTTTCAAAAGGCAAGAATATATATTTCACATGTGCTATATGTCATCATTGTGGTTTTTTGCCCAAGATTTAGCTCAGGAGACAGCACATTTATTAGTACGGAGTACCAGTTTGTTGAAGTGAACTGTTTCAGTATCACCTTTGAAGGTTCCCTTTATCTAATCCCTTCCTTACAAACTTTAGCTTCTGCAGCTCTAACTAGTCTGTACAAAATCTGCACTAATCAGTATCAGTTTGCTGATATCCATAAGGCAAAACTGAAAGCCCATAATTTTGACTTATTTTTTAAA